TATTTCGCAGCTGTAAAATAGGCACTCTGGCACAAAATATGTGGTACCACCCTGAAAAATGAATTCTAAATAATTGAACTGCAAATCAGTCACAGCAGGTCTCAAGAGATCACACTAAAATTGCAGCTATTAAACACACATTTTTCACTACCGTACAAGTCAGATTATAAAAGTATGAGCATTCATTTGAATGTTAGAAACACATTTGCAGCCAGAAGCTCTGCAAGGCCACAGAGTTCAGTCAACTTGATATAAACGACACACATTTGCTACTGTGGGATAAGCATTAAGAGTTGCTGAGGACATGCAGCTTGTACCACCAACCTGGAATTCAGCTCCATGTGTTTCACTTCTTCAGTACTTGCAGTTTCTATTTGCATCAAAAACCTACTTGTTACTATAACGATGAAAGCAATTGCTTTCAAACTTATTCTTTCAAATCTTACCTTCACAGCAGAGAATAAGTTTCTGTCTCTTACCTTAGGTTCTTTAGGCTATCTCCACTGGAACTATCCTCTCAAAATGCTGTAAGTAACAGTTATCTTCATCACAGAAATCTAAGACTTACAATTGAGACCCCTCGCACGTATTTAGATGAAGCAATGCATTTTCAGCCTTTATTGCTTACATCAGCCAAACATCAGATCAGCTTGAAACCCAAAACCTTAGGTTTGTCACAGGTGGGCCACAACTATAGTCTTAATTAGGTCAAACAACTGAATGATCTGAATATCTAAATGCTAAGCTCAGACACTAAGCATTTGTGGAGAAGGCAGATTTGGCAAATGAAAGAATTATGAAAATTTTAATTGATTGGCATTATTGCTAATGAGATGAATCTGCAGCAAAACCAGATGCAAAAGTTGTGGGGAAAGGGTCACTTCCTCTGAAAAATCAAAGTCACCATTTTAAGAAAGCCGATCATTTCCTGCCTCCAGAGGAAGGGCACAGGAAAGATCACATAAGAAATATCATTCACATTTGCATTGAAAAAAAAATTTAAAAAGAAAAAAGCCATTGCAAATATAAGTCAAATTTTATCAAGAAATAGATTTTTTCATCTTTCCAAGCTGTTAAAAGTATTTAATGTTTTGGCAGACTTGGTTCAAATTCTAAAGACATTAGTGTATTGTTAAATAAGCAATACATACATGGATTAAGGTTAAGGGTAAACTGTCGCCTTTGGTTTCTGACTTTTAATAGATCTTGGAAGATGTGAAGGACCCAAAATTGTAAGAAAGGTCAAATCACACAAGTAGGATGTGGGATTTAGAGGTCAGAGCTCTTGGACATTCTCTTTACACGGTGAATGAGGAAAGGGTCATAAATGAAGACACCTTATCTCTGAAAGCTTCCTCAGCCACTGGTGATACTTTCTTCAGTAAGATGGACACAGAAAACCCAGTGAATGCGCATGTTCAGCATATATGCACTGTTAATAAAACATAGCTATGACAGATAACTCACCATAATATGAAGTGACTAAGTTACATAGTACAAAGATTTTGGTAATTTGCTTCTTAAAACAATGATTAGATCTCTGCCATTTTCCCTCCTACGATTTTAGAAAAAAGACTCAAGTTTTAAAAAATGCATCTGTTAAAGAAAAATAATCTGGAATTTCATACTTCACATGTGCATTTTGTAGAGGAAAATTAATTACAAGTGTTTACTTGAATGAGATCTACTGAAATCAGAACACCTTTAATACACCTCTTCTTACTTCTTTTAAACTAAGTCACAAGATGAAATAAATAGAAAATACATTTCAACAAAATCAAAACATTGTCCATGCTGCAGGTCAACAGGATAGCTTCCAGTACTGAAAGTGTTCTCATTTTTTTTAATCACAGTATCATTTTTTTATGCCCAGTTTACTTCAGAAAAAGGATCCATCTAGCCAACTTTTAAATACGAAGTTACAACAATCATCTGAATTTTTGTATAACATAATAAACAACCATTCTTACCAAAGCTTGTACAGAACTGTTTGTTAAAATAGAGTTGAACAATCCAAAATTAAGCTAATATATTTACACTTAAGTAATAGGATCCCTTATTCACCTTGTTTTAGGCTTCACGGTTGCATTATTTGGATTGTGCTAGGGAAAGCATCTCCGAATACTAACAAAAAGAATTCAAACTGAAGAGTTAAAATGTTTTCTATCAAATGTTCATAAAAATGGACTTTTTTTCTATGAAGAACAACAAGACATTTTCTAAGCAAAATGACACAATACTTAGGTTGGGGAAAAAAAACAAGTAATAAAAACCTTTAAAAGCAAGCAAATAAATACAAACCCCCTACACGCACTGACACAGCAGCCACAGGTAAATTTACAGGGAGAGGCCAAGCACCTTCTTTATACTGTTCAGTTTCTACTGCAGGTCTGGGACCATTACTAGTTGCCGCACGAGACCAAAGTCTATCTTGTTGGGCATCTGTATTTTTCACCGTGGTCTCTTTCGTTTCTGAGCCACCGCACATTTTTCCTGTGCCAGTGTATTTTAAAACAAATTGTTCACTGTGAGCTGGAGATGTAGAATCTTAGAAATTACATGGAGCCTAGGCAAGGTTACAAGACTGTACTTCAACTGTGAACATATCCATCTGCGATGCGTCTAGAAAAGCTGCTCAAGACTGCTTAAGACAATGTTTGCATTCACTGAAATGGATTATGATAAGGTCTCCAAATTTTTCAGACACTGAAAAAGGACCCTTGTCTCAGGTGGAGAGGTTGGCAGCTGTCAGAGTATAATTCTGGATCTGGCAAACACTTGCCCTGCAATTCAGGTCAACGTGAACAGAACATAAAAGGTCTGAAAACAAGTACATGCATGCCAATGTATTAACAACAGATCACACGTATGGGCTGCAGTATCTTCAGCCACTTTATGTCAGTTTAACTATGGAGAAATAAAGTTAAAAGATGCTGATTTCTAGCTAACTCCTCACCTGCAGCCATGCATGTCACACGGTGCCTTATGAGCATGAAGGTGAAATTTTCAGAATTTTGTTGTTTAGCTACAGTACATGTAAACTATTTTTAAGATGCCCACAGAACTATATTCTTTAATCAACATAAAAGTTACTCTTTTCAGAACGATGACCAAATCTAGCTCCAGCATGCAGTATTATAAAAGAGCGCATCACAAAACTCTTGATCTGAGATAAAGGAATCTTTCTAGTGTTTACCCAAGTCTTCAAGCCTACTTCCTTGGGATCAGAAGATATGCACGGTATGGCTGCTACTGACCTGCCAGAACCTGCCTATTCTCATTTTCCTTATCCTCTATTAGAAGATGGCACCACAGTGGTGTGGTTTTTTCCAGGAAACAAAAATAAGGTGCAAGTCCTGTCTTAGGACTGAAGTCTATTACTAGGTACACAGATTATAAGACGACTGACACTCACCAGGCTGGTTCATGCTCAGATTGACTATTTGGCATCTGAGAATAAAACATCTGCTGAGGCGAGAAAGTTAATACCTTCCCTAAGCTTTCAGATAACCCAACGAATGTCACAGATTGGTCTGTCTGAAGCATAAAAACTGAGCTACAATGTGCCTGTTACACTTTCCCTGGTTTCTAGTGACATTCTCTTGAAAGTAACAGTGATAACTCTTGAAAGTTAAAGCCTCCATCCAATCAATTATTTTCCACTTTAAATCCTTAACACCACTGGGCCAGAATGCTAAAAATAGGTTAACACAACCCAACATCCCACTTTTTGTGTCCTGCAGGTTTTGAACATGTTTCGTTATTTACATATGCAGGGCTGGGCAAAACCACAAAACCAAAACTTGATCCTCTCAAGGTGGGTACTTGAACCTGTATGCACCAATTTTAGTCAGAAAATAAGACCTCATGTGAAGATTACACTAAATAGAGTCAAGGAGGACATTAGCTGTACACACCTTTTAGACACAAGTCAAGTTATAGAAATTGACCTTTATTTAGTTATCAGTTTCTTTAACTTTTTTTTTTGATACAAAGTGACATTTTCATTTTAGTACAGAAAAACCATGTCAGAACAGTACCTGTCTGTTTCAGTTGTACCACTGGAGTCTACTCTAACCTCAAACTTTAAAAAAACCAACCAAACAAAATATGAGATAAACAAAAAACAACTTCCGTCCCTCACCATGAGAAGTACTTTGACTAGGAATTCATCCATATAATTTCCTATTTTTTTTTAATTTTTATATATATATACAGTATTATAATAGCATGTTATGATACTATATACAATACTATATATATTTTATATGTATTATAGTTCAAAATACTCTCTCTATATAGCATATCACTATATAAATCATATCTAAAGTATTTTGAACTATAAAATAGGATCTGTAAAACAGAATTTAAATTTAGGACCAGATCTTTCTTTGAAGAACTGTGCAAGAACAATCCCTTTTTTAATTAAAAAAAAAAAGCTGCGAATAGAAGCAAAACTACAGCCTGCAGTGTGAAACTAGAAATGCTACATAATGAAATGTTAGGAACAGTGACTGAGAAGCAGCTCTGCTCAAATGATATTTTAAAAACAATTAAAATACAGTACCCAAGAAACATGGCACAAGAGACAGAAGAGACAGGTACAAAACCTGTGTTAGGAACACAGAGTCAGAAGTGAAAAAAAAAAAAAAAACAACCAAAAAAGGAACCGATATAATGCAGTTTGGTACAATAGGTAAATAAGTATTGCAACCAAAACTAAACGATCACTTATTTTTTGACAGTGGAAACACTAACAATTCAGTACCTTTCTAAAGGCTTTTAATCAAAGCCCTAAAACTGTGGCTGCTCTTAAATAAAAACAATCTATGTGAATGCTACACACTGAAGTACAAAGCTTAAGAATCACCCTGCAAAATTGCACCGACAGAAGCTTTCCATATTTACAGTATCTAAAAGTGACAGAACACAGCATGCTAGGCCTAGCTTATGATTCTTCCCCACCAGTACTTAATCCAGGCCCAACAACCAAAAATTATTATTTCTCAACACACGGTAAGCTTGGATTGTTCAGATATATTATGACGCTTAAATATTAGATTCATGCATAAAACAAGAAACGATATCTTTGACAGACAAGTGTTGACAGGATACACACAGTGGTCTGCCCTGTAGAGGAGTGTACTTCCTTCTGAGCTTACTCCCAAGACGTACCGATTCGATCCCACATTATCACTTGGTTGTCAAGTCAACAATGTGCTTAGATATGGTCAAAATTGCAACTAAAAGTCACATTGCGCCAAAACCACTCACTCACATTGAGAAATTTCACTCCATTTTGGAGAGTTACCTCATTAAGTGAAAAGACACAGAGTTAAACAAAACAAAAACAAAGAAAAGGACATTCAAGTAAACAGCAACAACCAAATACTTTGAAAAGGTTTTTTGTAAACTTGTCGTTCTACAGGGTTTTGCAGCATTGTTAAATCCATTACTTGTGCACAAGCACACGCAGGTCACAACCCCTCGTGGCAACCTGTCACGTGTACATGTACAGCGTTAAGAGATAAGCTCGGTGAAGTGATCTACCCCTTCCCACGTGCCTTGTCAGGTCCTTGCATGTTCAGTGTTATCATTCGCCTTCATGAAACAGGAATCACTTACGGCTATCTTTATAAAAACAGAAATGGACAGAGTCCGTTGGATAGAGTTAGTTGGTTATTTACATCTGCAAAGCAGTTTCACAGCGAAATAAATCTACAGCGGGCCAGCTGGGATCCACAGGACTTTGTTTTGTTCTTGATCGACAGTTGTCATAATCTGAGTGCAAATGCTTGAAAGGGCTCCTCCCTGGACAATGCCTGGAGAAAAAGAAACACCCCTTGAATGAGACTGGAACAAACAGTTATGGCTAATTACAAAGTGCAGTCTTCGGCATTTTTCTGCAAAGCGTTTATCCAGAGATCAGAATTAATCTACCTAATTCAATAGTTGCCCGATACATGACTCTACTAAAACAAGAAAAAGAATTAACAGAGCAAAGAGGTCAAGCATTCAATATACAGTTTCTTCTGCTAGTTCTTAAAACAAACCAGGGAAGTCACAGAACTGATGGCTATAATCAACTAAGACAACTGTTTTGGTAGAGGCCTTCATGTACTATTTTCAGAGACATCAGGTGGCAAAGTTTAAGTCTAAAGATGGTCAGAACCTGCTATAATAAACATTCTCTGTTCAGCACATGGTGTTAAGTAGTTTTATATCCACATGGTAATATACACAGAGATGATAGCTGTAGCAACTAGACACTATTTACAAATATTAGAAATAAATTATGAGACAGCTCATAGATCCATAGAGCTAAATAAAATGGTGGTTGCTACTCCAGTTCTTATTGTTGGATTCAGGGAACAAAAGGCCAAGAGCAAGCAACTCCCGGAAAATCAATTCAAAAGATAAGTAAACACCTTGCATTCTACCCTTGCTAAACGTACCGGTCATAAAAAGTAAAATGCCAACACTAACACAGAAGGGGAGAATGTATTAGCTTTAAGGTTAAAAAAGTGAGGCACTTTATGACCTAAGAAATATGTAAGCAAAGCCTCTGGCCTCAGCTGCCACTAATGCTGCAAAAATATGGAAAATCTCAGCTTAAGGTGCAAATTCCATTTGTAAAAGAATTAGATCTAACATAAAATACTACTTGATTCTGCAGTCTATACTGGAGTTAATGATGTCAGGTGAGCCTGGATACAAAACACAGTAACTGACAAGGTCTAGGAAAGGCGAGAAACAGCAGTAAGGAACTGATTCAGATTGCAGGCTATGCTCACAGCTTGGGACAGGAAATGAAGCCAACTTGAAAACGTCATCAGTCAAAAAATCCCATACACCTCATGTAGTAGTCACAGAGCTGAGATGTGAGGGAGTGTGTCACAGAGCTTCCTGAGGAAGCTACCATGTCAGCCATGCCTATCTACTGGCTTATTTCATGCACATCGTAATTTCAGCAAGCTGAAATGTCAATGCAGTTTGAACACCAATCCTCTCTGACTACCAGCATCTGGAAATGTTGATGACAGCTGGCGTCCACTGTACTTGCACTAACAGAGGGAGGAGGCCCTTCCCACAGGGCATGCGAGAAGATACATGTAGGACTCAGTGCTGCTTTCACTATCAGGGTGAAATTAAAATGCAACAAATGACTGCAGAAGGAGTAGAAGATAACATGTGGTGATGCAATCTGTCCACATGCACACCAAGCACTCTGAAGGCTTAGTATGTACCACGTAAATGACCATTTGTATGACTGTCACACACCAGGTAACGAGTATTTTTGCTCAGAACATGCAGCTTCTCACAGGACGTGTTGGGATAGCTCTGCACTATATACATGCCTCTTCCCTTCTCTGCACTTGGCAGGTAAGCCTCAAAGTGCTTATCTAGGAATCTCATTGCTGGGGAGATGAAAAGTTGGGTTTGGGCTGATTTAACGTTGCCTTTCTTCATTTTGGTTTGTTTTTTTAAGTTTTGTTGCCATTCACATCAAGATGGCTAGAATTTTATCCCTGCTCTTTTGTTTAACCACATAGAAATATACTCTGAAACAAGCAGTCAGTCTTCAGTGTTCTGTCTCTGTTAAAAATGAAGTATGAACTACAATTGAAGATTCACATAATACACTTTAGGTTGTTAAAAGGGTCTCTGAAGTTGAATTTAATGATTCCAAAAAATTAAAATGTGTGCTCAAGAAAGCTTTGACAATTTTTCTTGAAAGATTTAAGGTATGTCTCACAAACCATTCATTAATTTACACTACAGGGGTTTTGTTGTTGTTGTTTTGTTTGGCTTTTTGTTTGATTTGCTATTGCAAAACAACGTATATTCCTTACATGGTACAAAACCAACAACACTGTGCCAAATTATCTTGACCACACTTCCAATACTCCTGGCTTGTAATACGACATCTTTAGAATCTCTTTAGGTCTTAGTATGCATAAAATGCTACAACAAGAACATGTGAAAACCAGGAACAGTACTTATATCTCAATGTTTCCTTTCCTGGTAAAATAAAACAGCAGCATATGAGTTTGCATGAGGGAAGGCAGAAAGAAAAAAATACTCCATGAAGGAACACAGGATCTTTTGAATTACAGTGTAAATGGATTAAATTACCAGTGTTTTCCTAGTGCAATGTTGATTAAATACGAACCTGTAAAGTACTTGCTATACTCTTGTTCTATTTTCTGAGCTGTCTCAAACTGTTCTTTGGAATGTTTTTGTGTAACTTTGTCCCTCAGGAATATCGGGTCCTTTTGCTCTCTGCAAAAAAAAGAAAAAAAAAACCACCTTGTGTAAGAGTAATTTATTTTTTCATTCAACTTGAAATGATTACCTACCTCCAAGTGGGTGAATATGAAAGGCTAACTAATTTGCAAGCATAATCCTGTGCATAGAGTGCCACCTACTGTGTTTTCACAGTATCAACACAGTCATCAGAATCATTTCAGTGCTAACAAATTTGCTATCAGGCCAAGACAACATTCCTTTAAAGCCTCAGAGTTTGGGAAGGGGTTGAGTAAGAAGGGATATAATTTTTTCCAGTTCATGTGAATCAGATCATCATCCCATACACACTCCAGCACTCCCTACACAAAGCTAGGCTCTAGTACTGCACTTTGGAGAGCTTGAAGCATCAAGCACTGAGCAAACAGGATATTTCTCTGTCATGTTATACATGACACATTTTTGAGATGTCTGTTTTTCTATTATACCAGCCGTTGGAAATAAGTAAGAAAAAATACAGAGAAATATGAACGGTTAAAAAAAAAAATTTTGATTCCTATCAAGGCGTGTAACCATCTCCAATTTTGACTTGGGGTTCCCAGTAGGGGATTTTGTTTTAAAAGGAAGTAGAAGTTATAATCAACTAGTAAGGTCATATAGACAGGTACTGAAACAATATTAAGCATAGTTTCTTAAAGCAGTAAGAGAAGAAGCACAAATTTATTTTATAAATTAAGAAAATTAAACTAACCTATCACTGCTGTGTAGCATTTCAAAGAATGCCAATAGAACCTGTGCTGTATCAAAAAGGCTGTTTGAAAAAAAACCTTTGGTGCTCAAAACAGGCAGAGACAACGTGCCACTGCATCTTATTTTGATGACTACTACAAATTCTTGCTTGTCTGGTTCAATCGCCCTCTGTCGCTTTCCAGAACAAGGAAATAGCTGTAATGGTGACCATCCCATTTCCAAAAGGGCTCAAGACATGACAGTTCCATTTATCAATGATATGTATGATCCTACAACGGTAATGAAATATACCATATTGCTTTATGTCTTGCTTCTAACTTGAAAGTAGTGATACTTATCTTCTTTATTAAATAGATAGCCATCAAATTTACCTTATGGAGTATAAGAAGTCTTCAACTTTCAAAACAAAGATAGCACAAGTGTGAGATCTCTCAGCAAAACTTCTTCCCGATAGTTATGTTTGCAAATTATGTAATTTCTTGCCAATTAAACCTATCAAAATGTGTGAAGGCTTACTCACACATTAGGGGAGGGACGGTGGTTTTTAACTCCAGTGTCCTCCTAGCTATAGTCAAGCAGGAAATTCCCCATTACTGAAAGAGCATGGCGCAAAAAGACCACAGTATTTACATTCCACGGCAAAAAGGGACTTTTTGATGTTTTCAATGAAGAACGAAGGCGAGAAAGCTGCGGTTATGAATCAGTTGGCCCTGCATCCAACCACTCGGCCCCGCTGAGGAGGTGAAGCATAGCTTTTTGTCACAGTCACCACTTAATCCTCAATGGATCTCACCCACATCTGTCTCAGTTTCATACAACAGTGAGCAGGAAAGATTCGAGTGCCTCCTGGAGTACATACACTTTAGTCTACATTGTCTGATTTATTTGCAAGATACACTTAATCGTCATGCAACCAAAATGAAGTTAAGACCATTTACCTCACAGCAGTTTTAATGAGGATTAATTTTCATATTTTAAAGACATTTAAGATGACTAGGATGAAAGAAACAATAAAGGTAACAAGCTTATTTTAAGCTAAAATAAACATCCCTGAACTATACCCCTCACAGACTTACTTGATTTGTTTAGCATTTTTGTAGCGAATAAAAATTACAATAGGGTAGATATGAACACTGTGGAGCCGTTCGATGGCATGAGGAGCGATGTCAAGCAGACAATGACAATCCTAAGATCAAATGTAAATGCAAAACACTCATTCAGTTAAAGAGCACAAGCACACATGCAACCCCTCCCGTTTCTTCCCCTACTTAAATCACAGCAACCCAGCAGAATTTTGCTACACACATTTGGCACTTGGGGCTACTGAAAAATTTGTACCCAAAGAATTTATAATAGAAAATGCAAAGCTGCAGGAAATTGCATTTGTAAGACCAAAAGCATGCACTGATAGAAATAAAAGTATTTTAAGAACTAATGAAGTGAAAACTCATATTGAAATATAGGTAATTTTTTTTTCCCAAATTTAAATATACTTATTCATTTTCTTTCTCAGAAATCATATACAGAAGAGAAACACTAAAGTAATAAGACTTGTGTGGTTTGAGAAGACTATAAGCAATGTATAGTTCTGATTAACATCTGTCTCCAGGATTATTAAGACATTTATGTTCTATATGACTGCATTAAATGGAATAGTTAAAAAAGCTAAATCCTCCTGTAGAAGAGGTATGGGTAGAATCTATGGAATCTAAAAAAATAATTTCTAACTTTATTTAATAATACAGTAAAACAATATGGACATCCACAGTTTCTACAAAGGTGAGTCTGCATAAAATAATCTCTAAATATTTATATGCCAAAGTGAGGTAACTCAGCGGCCTAGGGAACAGTTGTCTGAATACCTTAAAGTACAACAACACAAACACAATTTCCACCCCCTAACACAGTACGATTGCAAACTGTATGAAGAACTAGAGCATTAAAATTGACTCACCTTCTCCGTTATCTCTTTTATTGAAGCTACAGTTGTCACATCAAAGTGTCCACTCCTCCGTTTATAATCAATAAAGAGACAATCCTTCACCCCCCGTTCAATGGCTTGTTGGGAAGCTTTCATAACCTCTGTTTCATAGAACCAGAGAGACCCACTTTCATTACTATTCCTTAGGCACAAAACAAGGCTAAAGAAACAATGTCTCCAAATTCAGATTCTTGGAGTGTTTTTCCATGTCTGTGCCATCATCTAGTTCACTTATATAGATGTTACTATCATGTACTCTAAGCAATAGTAAATTGGTTATATTCACATACTTACCAAGAGGACACCTGCAAAATTTTCCAGGGGATTCTTTCACCAACATGTCTTTCACAGCATCAAGTAAAGGTCCTAGAATAAGGACAGGCCTAGGAGAGGTACAGTCCACTTTCTGTACACGCTGATACGCCAGACTTGCAGAATCTGCACACAGAGAAGATTTACTTATAAAAGCACAAATTATTTTCCTAGCATTCCTCAGATAATCAGAATCTTAACAGTATTTATGGAAAACAACTCCCTTGCAAGCGATAAGGGAGTACAAAAAATGTTTACTAGACCTTAATGCAATTTATTCCATTTGACAGCTTAAACCTGACATTTTTCTAATTGAATCTGGTGCTTCTTCCTCAAACCCTCACCCAAACTTTAAAACCAATCTTCCATTTTTTTCCTAGAAGTGTAAACAAGACATGATATTTGGTTTCTCAGATTTGGTTTGTTGAGTTCCTCCAAAGAAGTAAGCATTGTAACCAACATGTTTTTTTTGTAAAGGAGTGAAGAAACGTAAGTCAAGATTTTTGAGTGGTACCCAGGATTTCTGTCTAAACTAAGTGACCTGGACAGAAATTAAGTAGTTAAAAGGAAGATCAAAATCATGCATCAAAAAAGCAATCTCCCTCTACAAATGAAAGTTAATGCTAAAAGATCTAGGAATAAACTACAAAAAAACCCACACCAACCCCAAACAAACAAAACAAAATAAAACCCACTCTAGTTTGTTATTTATTACCAGAAAAATTTGTTATTAAAAGTAACATACATGATGGGACACATGATCCATAATGCCCATTTGTATTTAGACGAACCAGAAAGCAACATTATTCATTGTATCCTGCTGCAGCTGTTTGAAGGAGAAGGAAAGGCAACCCCCTCCCAAGCATAACAAAGGCACATACCATCCAAGAAAGGAATTGAGTCTGTACTGATTGTATCAAGAGCCAGCAAATCCTTTCCATCCTTGGAACCACTTCGCTTGTGTTTATGCTTTCGTCTGAAGAATGACCTCCGTGCTGCTGCTGACAACGTTTTAGATGAGCTGTTCTCATCTTTAGCCTCTGACATGCTGTGTCTCCTGTAGAATTCCTGATCCATCCTATAATGAAACAGACTAAATGGTTGGTATTTAAGCTCATTTCTAATTTTTAATATTACTTTAATACTTAATTTTACTTGATATAATACTTAATATTTTTTTAATAATAACTTCATCACAAAAAATTATCAGAAACAAATGTGAACTAAATAATAAGCATCTGAAAACCTCAGACTACCATCATTTCCTTCAGGATTCCTATAATGCAAACGGCAGCACGGCACAGAGTGAGACCACGCTGACAGGCAAGGCCAAATTCTCCAAGGCAGAAGCAGCAGTGTGCACTTACTTGCCAGTAAAGTGACTTTCGCAGTTAAGTGCCAAGTGCATTCTTTCTGTGAAGCTAGATGTTATACTCATCCTCACAAATAACTTAGTAGCAGTCCAAAATAAGAGATCTATTTAATATTAATACAAATATTTTGGCCACATAACACTATTAATCCTCCAGTAACAAGCCTATGAGTGTTGTGTATAGGTCTGTATCCATTCCACATCATACCATTGTCCCACTGAGGACGAATTTTGAGTTATGACATGGTGAGAAGACTATTAGAAGAAAAGGAAACCAGAAAACCAGTAATCTTAAAATGAAAAAATGTATTCATTGCCAAGTGATAACTAATTCAATTTCAATCACAATGTAAAAATGTTAATACTCTACCAACATTAGGAGACTGTGGTACAGACAGCACATAACGTTGCTGTCCACAGAAAACTGCAGACACTGATGCTTTCAAAGAATGACTGTGATACCCTTGGATTCCACGATAATTTTGCTGTGGTTACTCTCACTTCTGTTAATGAATTACCTGTCATAACACTTTTTCATTTCTAGTTTACTATTTATTAGAATTAAAACCAACTTGACAGAGCACTATATTTAGTTCAGTCTTATTAAAATAAGCCATACCTGAAACGAAACACCTAAGAATTACTATTTCCCAGAAAGTACAGAAACAAACAAGTCTTCTATACCCATCTCACTAGTCAGACTTTTAAAGACTATGATAAATGCTGTAACTGAGATCACTCACATATATTTACTTGGAATCTGTCCTCTTTCCAGCTTCTGTGCATTCTCATCTAGCTGCCAAGCCATCCAGCAACCAAAGTTTCCCTGTGGTAAAGTGTCATCAACATACAAAATGTCATCCTTCTTAAAGCTTAAATCCTGTTCCACCTCTGCCAAACGGTCATAAAGTGCTCTGGAAAAGAAGACATAAATAGGCTCTGCAACTGATCTCCATCAACTCGAAGGAAGAACAGGCACACTTATTTTGAACAGAGGTAACAGATCAGTGGCACGTTCAATGTTTCAAGAGCACACAGGTTTACAGTGAAACATGTAGACTTGCTATGCTACAGATTGTGCAGTCACTGTCAGAGACTAACTGGGGTAAATTAGAAAAATTAAAATTTAAAACATGGTAACACTGATATACAACTGCCAGAATATTATCCTAATGGTCTTATGCTGTCATTACCAGTCACACTCAAATACCTGATATAGAATCCATCTCCAGGAAGCTCTTTTATCTTATTGAACTCTTCTATTCTGTATTGAGTCTTTATTTTGATGTTTTCTCCAGGCTTCAACATTTCAAGATAAGCTTCCTCAGCTGTTTTATTTCGCATATCAATGGACCCATACTGCAAAACACAGAAACCTTTCTGTGTGAATAGGTAACAGAATTAGATGAGCTTGAAAAATATGCAAGAAGAGCTTGGTTTTCCCACTGTCAGGCTCTACATGCAAGTAAATCATGCCACTTGCAGTTTGCACCTTAAGACATCTAGCAGGAGAATGAGACATGGGGGCTGGAAACAAAACACCCAAGTGAACATAGCGGACATGCACCATGAGAGAGGGTCTGCACTTCAAATAGTTTTAAAATCTAAGCTGAGAATCCTAAAATTCACACTGGGAAAACAAATTATATTCTAAGGGAAAGCAAGTCAGAAGCAATTAGAAAGCAAAATCTCCATTTGGACACTAGAGGTGCAATGGGCCAGTCTCAGTGTTCAGTCTCAATTCTGAGGTGTATCTGAAAAGTTCATAAACACACGTTTATCACCTTAACAGTCCTGCCAAGTAGATAAATATTCTCATTTCAGATATCGAAAGCAGAGTCAAAGACATATTGCACAGCTTTTTCTAAACTCTCTTTAGAATTTCATAGTGATAGGATTGATACTGTCCTCTGTTTTGCAGTATCTTTTATAACCTTATCTTCCTCTTCTGTACAGCAATTGGATCCAAGGCTCTGATTTAGATGAAGAGAGCAGGTATTCGAAATTTCTAGTGGACATACATGACTCCTGCAAACTTGTGGGCAACCTGTACTCTCAGCAGCAGTAGTTCTCTGGGTCCACATCATCCAGCTCTTCATGTGTCACAGTCAGAAGGAAAGTTACGCATTCTCACCACTCACCACTCTTACCTTGCTTTGGTAACGTGAACTCAAGATTCACAGAGCATCTCCCACTGCGAGACAGCATGATTCTTAGTACACCTCCCTCTTTATACCATCCTTGACATTTTGTCAGTATGCTGCAGACTTCTCTTAACAGCTTACCTCAAGTATCATGTCACCCAAGACTAGTCCATCAGGTCCTTTTGCTGGGCTATCATCATCTACATCTGAGACAAATATTCCATACAGGTTTCCACCACATATCTGGATCCCAAGATCCACTTGGGATTTTTTAATAACAACAGTTCGAGGTTCAGGGGTCCTTTTGTTGGTGTCCACAGGGCCCCTTTTGACATGAAGAAATAAAACAAGTACTTCAGTTTAAAAACTTGCATTACATACAATCAACTAGCCACCTGAACACATATTTACGTAATTGTTATTCAAAATAGGTCATCTACAGATACAGGCTTATAAGACAAACATGATATTCCGTGCAGACCTTCTTAACTAAACTAATTTGTAGTAAATTTTCTTCACTCCTTGTAGATCCTGTCTTTCAAAAACAGTCTGAAAACATGTACTTTTCTCCTAGGGTCTCCTTGACTTGCTGACTTTTTTCAAACAGACATAGCATTCACAGAATTGCTCTTCGGTTTTTAACACCCTTCACATGCACCTTGACCAATTTTTTCCTTAAGGCAAAAATTTTACTCTCTACCTTAAGGAATTTCGGGGACTTGTAGTTGGCGTGGTTTGTTTGGATGGGGGTGTCATTGTTCCTTCATCCTGTTCACTCACAGTATCAATTACAGAATGATTGTCAGGCGTTGCAGCTCCGCTGCCTTGAGGGGTGGAATGATTACTCACAGGTTCTAGACGAGAACTAAGAGGGAGGGGGAAAAAGAATATAAGAATAAAAGACTACTGGGTTAGTGTTTCACCAATGCCAAAAGTTTTCCATACAGACAATTTTTTTAATTTGGCTGTAAATCAAGAAAGAAAGAAAGAAAAAAACCACCATGCCAAATAACATATGTTCACTGTAAGTCTAATAGAAAGCTGAAGTTCAGTTTTGAAGTGTTATCATGCATCAAAATGGAATGGATAATTTCACTGGGTCATACGCCTTCTCCAATTAGTTTTTGGAATCTCCAAATATAAAAAAAAATAAAATTTAAACCTATTTGAAGCAGTCAAATCTCACAATCCTACAAAAAAGTCATCTTTGATTTTAGCTTAATGCACCTAAGGGTTACGTCCAAATAAGAAAGAAAATCCAGTCGATGCATCAAGTATTTTTCTTCTCTTTTCAACAAGCATGTATTCACATATTACTTTTCTAAGCAATCACAGTTCTTATCAGCACAAATGTGCTGATATTTGCAAATACATTACCCGTACTGAGGTGGCCTACTAGATAAGTAACACTGACCAGTTTTTCCACAGCCTAGCCGGCGTTACCTTGATCGTGAATGATTGCCAAGCTGATACATATGCGGGTTATACTGAGCCAGAATAGTAATGGTGTCGCACTGCTGTCCAATGATTAGTCGAGCCTGTTGCTCTGTAGCATTTCTCAAATTTATTCCATTAAACTATGGAAAAAAGCACATAAAAACAGGAGGTCAAGTTTTCACACGGAAACTAGCAAAATCATTCTTTAAGTCTCCTAATTAGTATCTAAATCCTGACTTATTTCTATTGGGGTACATAGGAGGATGAAAATGCTACTATACAACGATTTCTAGAGTTTATTCCTCAGAAGGAATCACTGTAATTTTAAAGTATCTGGTAACCTGACCATGAGTTCAATGCTCCTTTTACTACTGGAAGATATACGTATTTTGACCTGTGTTTTGTTTTGATATCACTGGTTAAATACAAGTTGCTTCAAATCACTGATCTGATTAAATTCAGGACTTAAAAACAGATCCACGATCCATTTGGGTCCACTGTAGTATCACCCACACTGGGCAACAGAAGATATTTTAACATACATAAACAGATCTAATATTTACAAAGTAGCTCCGTACTTTACAAAATGCTCCTCTACATATTCATCTAATACTGTATCCAAAATCATGACTGTAGCTAACCTAAAGCCTACCTGAGTGTTTTTTAAACCAGGTATCTCAGGTAAGCATATTGTACAGCAACAGCAGCATGAAATTTGGCATAAGCCAGCTGCTTGAACGCCTACTCATCTTATCAGGCAGAGGATGATTTTAGGACTACATTGTTTTAAGTACTGAAACTACTTGATACTTGAGGCAAGCTTAAAATTTAATTATATCAGACATAATGTAGAACTACAATCCAAAGACATTATTTTATGATAAAGCCTGACAAAAAGTCACAACAATCACAATTACTAGAATATTACAATACAGAGTACCCCTTGCTACATCTCAGAACACACAAGCTCTCTCAAGATACTCTTTTGGGGAAGGCAGTTACAGCTTGAGTCACATGAACTGATTCATTAAGTCATTAATAGTAAGCAAACAATTACCTCTAGTAACTGGTCACCATACTCAAGGCCAGCTTGATGGGCAATGCTCCCACCTGTTACTTTAGAGACAAATATTCCACCATTTTCTCCGCTCACAATGGAAATCCCTAGTGGCTCAGAACCCTTCTGCACTTTAACATGACGTGGCTCTTCCATGTAGGGCCTTTTAGAGGAGATAGTTAAAACTGATTTGGACAAAACTGCACTTGAATCATCACAATGTCAAAGTTACATGCAATACTTTACACCTATCTGAACTGTAATAATAAAATAGGTTTCAACATGTACATTTAAAGAAAAATTACTGTCAATTGTCTTCAATGCATTCCTTTAACACCATGCAACATACAATAGCAGAAGTAAATGTACACCAGTTACATGACTGCTCTAAAACATTATGGTAAACACAAATTTTAAGTAGTATGGTGGTGAAGTTGGTAGGGAAGAAGCTTTCAGATGCATATTATATTAATTAAACCACTGTATATAATATGTCATTTACAAACCATATTCCAGAAAGGTATGTTACAAATACAAATGCTGGGAAGTCTTTATTGCCAATGAAAATAAACATCATAAATAATAAGGTGGCAAACCAAAGGACAACAATGCACAAATATCCAATTTCATATTTGTACGCGGGGAAACACAAATTAGTAATGAAAATTAAGCAGTTGCAAACTCAAGCCATTAAGACAGCAGTTTGCATGGTAGCATTACAATTACCATGCAAATTCTCCTCAGGGCAATTATCCAAACACGTAAAATAGCACAAAGTGCGCAATACTGCTTGAGAAGGACAACCTTATAGCAGGCCAACCTCAAACTCCTTAGTGATGAGAACCTAGGCCTAGGAGCCACAGGGATTCTCAGAAAAGACCTATTACGGAACAGATATCTGAAAGACGTAGAAGATTTAAGAAGAAAAGAACACTTAGAAAGAGACACACAATAATAAGACACTAGTAAGTACAAGAGAATGGCTTATACAAAAGAAAATCCTGATATGTTCCCCCTTCCTCCCCCCACATTTGGATGTAACCACCCACACAAACAGGGCTGGTCCCTTTATGGCGGCTATAAAAAAAACAGTAGCTCCTAAAAAGTGCTAGTTTATAGAACTATGAACTTAATATAAGTCTAAACTGCAAAAGACATAACCAGATGTTAATAGTTGAGCTCATTCTGAATGAAACAGCCTGGGTACCAGGTGTGGTACATTTTTTATTTTAATAGCATCATGCCAGATTTGACATGCATTAATTTGAATGTTTTCTTTTCCTAAGACTTCATTATGTCATATAGACAGTCTCTAGATAGTGTAAACTGCTTAAATTATTTTAATTGTGCAGTTCAGAGACCAGACGAGTTCACCAGACTTCACTCCATGCTACTAAGGTGAGCCAGGCTGAAGAAATGTTATTTTTTGAAAGAGTAGTATTTGGGGCTGGGGCAGAGGGAAGAGGACATCATTTCATAAATTACGCTTATTGCCACGTGCTTTGAAAGGAACTGTTTGGTAGCCTGGCATCTGATACGAATGCAGCTCTGGAATCCAGCAATCTTATAACATCAACATCGTTGTTAGAGGTGATGCCCTCACAGCTTGTCTACAGATCTAATGAAGAATAAGGCAGCTTTACTACCCCCAAACTTAAACCGAAGCCAATGTTTCTTGTATGTAGCATACCTTAACTCAACTGTGCTAACTCTCAGAAAATTATAATTTATGAGCTTTTTTTTTAACTCAGTATGAGCGTGTAAACCATGATGTTACATGAAGCTCCTTAATATCACAAAATTTATCAATTAATCAACTAAAATGATGTGTTTCTGGACTTTACTTATTGTGCCTTCCTGTCTTCCATCTACCACACACATTCTGAAATTTAGTTTTGTTTGTTTTGGATTGGAATAAGAAAGAATCAAGCCCATACAAATTGTACGGGATATTTTAGAATTCTGGTAAATACAGAATGAAAGGGAATCAGTAATGCCTGTAGTAGACTACCAATAAAAAAGTAAAATAGAATGATAACATTAAACAGTTATCTTACTTGATAAGCGGTATTATTAAAATCAAGTGAATCACACTCCTCTATAACATTCAGACTGCCTGCCAGAACTGCTAAACACCAATTAGAGAAAAAGAAAAAAAGTATTGGGGAAAAGAAAAAAGTCTTAATGGATCAGATTTTAATTTTTTTTTTAAATTTAAGTTATAATCAACAGAACCAACAAACAAACACTGATTCCTTTTCTTCATCTATATTAATATCATTTTTATCTGGGGAAAGATCAAGCAAGTTATTTATATTTTAGGGTGGAATAGAAAGAATTATATGATCAAATAACCATTCAAAATGCTACCTAGGTATCTTCAAAAATTTCCTTAGAATAGATCAAATTAGCTACATTCCTAAATGAAGAACTGTTCATGTTTATTAATTTTTCTGGTTCGCTTTTAAAAAAAACCTCAAAACAATTACAGTCTTTTTAGAAAGTCAACTCAGACTATAGTTTATTGATATGTACAAGAGTGAAGGAGCTGGAACCTGACCGTACCTCAGTTATCTGATCAATATTACCAGAAATTGTTATTTCCCAGAGATCAGAACACATTATTTGTGTTCAGAGACAAAAAGCTGTAGGGGTGTCAAAACTCTTGCTTTTTCAGCTGAACATTATACATCATTAGTCATGTGAAAAAGAAAAGAAATTCTGACTTGGAATTTGCAAGTGACAATTAGAAGAACATTTATATGAGAACACAAATTGAGTACACATAGTACAAAAGTCACACTGAAGTAGGAAAGAATGAAAATTCACAAAAACCTCTTTGCATTCCCTTTCAAAGTAGCACTGTCCTTTGTACCCAATAAACATTCTAGAGTTACTCCAGAATCTTAGTTACCAATTCTTTAAACGAGACAAAAGTTTCATATAACAGTTAACAAATAACTTTTTATTACTATCTGAAAAGTTAGAATACAGAATATCCTTATTATTTTATCATTCCCATTTTTATCGTCAGTCCTTTTACATAAATGAAGTAATACAAAGGGTTCTTGAAGTCCACACAAATGTAAATTATTCCAACACACTGCAGGTCCTTTACACTGTCAGAATGGCATTCAGCTGCCTGACTGTATATAAAAGCCTGATTCAGATTTGTGTCTTGTTCAATGTTTTGAATTCAATGTATTCAGTCTAGCCAGATCATGCTAAAATGAAATCAGATGTCCAGGACCAATATCATAAGCAATGTATCTTGAAAATATTAACCATGAGATATATGAAGTTGTTAATACACAAAGCTCAAGTTTTTAAGACAGACACCATATCAGATTCCAACTCTGCAAGCAGTTACACCTACAGTTAATGCTATTGCTAGCAGTGGTCCAGGCACAGCCAAAGGGATCAGCCACATGAGTAAAAATCCATCTGTACATATGGATACATTCTTGCACACTTATGTCCTCAATTTTTCGTGTCATCTGGCTAAAATGAATCAAGGCACCGCGGTCAGAGTACAAACTCTGCAACATCAAGGCATCTGATATTTAGCTATCAGATATTACTAGGTCTTCACTTTAGTTTTCCAGAGTACAGAACAAGCCTATCACAAGCCTCTGAGGTAGTTCAGCTGAAGGGGTATAATCTAAGTTACACTGCTCTTATTTGATGTGGCCATTAATCTAACATGGAAGAAATAAAACTCTTAGAAATTCCTTAATTTTCCTAAACTTCAGAACTTACTCTTCAGTTCTGAAGAAAAAAAATCCATACAAAGATCGCTTACACGCTTTGTAAAGAAAATAACACAACCAAGTAACAGGACCTGAGATGCACCTCTGCGCCTACATATTTGTCATTTAAAGGTTCACATGCCTTCAGCTCAATAAACGCGCAAAATTTCCTCAGACACAGTTGTATCAAAACCAAATAACGTGGGGACCTTACCTATCTTTTCTACGTTCTCCAATAGATACTGGACTAATGGAAATCCTAGGTAACGTAGAAAGGGAGTTCTGAGACTGGCTGCTGGCGAAGGAAGATGTTTCCAAGTTAAGAGGTGACTGTGGAGGAGTTATCAAGCTGGGACTGCTACATTCAGAGTGTGACAAGGAGCCTAAGGAAAATCAACAGTTTTTAGTATCTTGCATCTGTCTTAATGACTACATGTCAAATCTGTCCTAAGTGTGCACACAACTACTGCCATTCTCAACAAGGAGAGGAGGTTATGGACAAGACACACCATATGCACGTCTGAAAACTTTTAACATCACAAACTTAAAGCATAAAAACTAGGAAAGGGGAAGTACAATAAGAATTTAATATGCAGGTTTATTTCCTAATATAATATTTATGTACAGCCCTTTCCTTTGGGTAGCAGATACATTATAAAACACCTGAAAACACCAACAAAATCCCAGCATGAATTGTACACAGAGAAAGGAAAGTTCTGCAATTTCAAATAAGCTTGAAACGACATCATTTGCATCTCTTCCCTGGATGTACCCTGCCCAGAGAAACACTTAGTCCTTTGAAAAAGCTACAGAAATTAAATCTCAAATTACTAATGACAAATGAAAGCCGTTTGTAAGAACTGTACTTGCCCAGTTAGGAAAACCACTGCATACGACCCATTAAGGCTACAGAACATTTGAGCAATCACAGGAGTGAAGAGCTGCCCTTTACTGTCATCAAACTCAATTCTGCAGCTCTCCAGCACTCTGACTAGTATTTCTACCATATCTTGCAATATTCTCCACCAAGCAATTCTGAGGAAAGTACTAAAATATTTTCCCTGCATTTCAAACTGTAATTTACAATCGTAATGCAATAATATGCAAGATAATGTAGTAAAGAATCAAAAAAATAACAGAGGTCATCTCACTGTTGAAACTTCAGACAAAATTCTAGAAGAAAACTACAACTTTAAAACATACAGCAATGCTTGTTCTTACAATTTTTTGTGTGCTCTTCCTTAGTGTGCCATGGTCTAGTGTCAAATAACAGAAAATCACCTTTCATTAGAAAGTTTCTTCTTTTTTAACTTTCTGTGGCAAGTGTCAATTTTGAAACCTTAATAAAACTGTTACATTTAGATTTCGGTGCAACCCGATTTAACAGCTGCAAAGGCTTTGGGTTAATAACACTGAAAACAGGATCACTAAAATTATTCATGAAATAATTCACCTCTGTCAGAGCCCATCATGGACCTTGGATATCTTGGTGTTAAGGGGATCTTAATTCGTTCTGTTCTGTATTGCAAGTTACTTGAAGAACCTATTTTTACAACAAAAAAATATTACAATGACAAAAGTAACCACACTGAACAAAAAGTACATTTAGATTTCACTTCTTTGATGAGCACTAAAATGGCCTCCGAATTTAGGCACTTAACTCAACTTGAAGTCTGAGTGAGAATTTAACACCTCTGCTTACTAAGAATCCATGGGACTTTCCAAAAGGCACTTAGAATATTCTGATTACAATCTGCTTGCATAAATACGTAACTTGTTGAAAGTGTTCAAAAACTGTTATGCCATTGTTTTTGCAGGGTTACAAAACTGCCACGCTCTATCCAGATGCAACTGCCAACCAGTGATGGACCACGAATGCAAACACGCATAAAAAAAAGCTATTAAGTAATTTAAAATTTTTTTAAAATAATGTTAAAATGTCATTGGTACAAAGCATCCACTTGCTTTGGTATTACTAGGATAGGCACAAACAATCTTACATATCAAGTAAACTTAATTGTAACTTATCTTCCAACAATACAACTTGCATCAGGCCATTAGTCACCCTTGATTTTTTGTTGTGGGGGCTCTCTCCTTTTCTTCTCTTTTCTCCACCTCACTGAACCTCAAAAATACTTTGCCTGGGTCTCACATCTTTATAAGGGGACTTTCAAACAGTAACAGGCATATAAAAGATAATCACTCGCACACAGAGTATTTTATAGAGACTGTAAGGAATTAATTCAACACAGCTACTTCCCATGAACATCCTTAAGTTGTAAAACCACAAAAAAAAAATCAAGCAAAGGAACAGAGGAAGTCTTCAGGTTTTGCTAGCTATGACAATCCCATAACGCATGTATTAAGAATTTCCTATTTATTCTTTGTCTCCAATATATGAGAGTTCCACAGGAAATAAATCAAAAAAGCTAATTACCAAGTCTTGCACTGGATGGTAATGAATTCGAGCCATGAGATGCTCTTGTACGTGAATTTTCAGAGTAGTCACTGGAGTGTTTATGACTTAGGTCCAAACTCAGGCGACCTTGATGCTGGGAACTACATTAAAAGAAAAGCAGAACAGGACAAGTTAGAACTGGGCACCTCAGCAAACAGGCCAACAAAAAACTGTGGTTATCCCTGAGTTACTGAATAAAATGAATGCTCCTCTCCTTTCCACTTCCCACTTATCCCATCATTTTATGAATTAAGAGATGTCAGAGAAAAAATAGCCTAAAGTGATATTAAAAAAAAAAAAAAAGAGAGAAGGCTTTATTTGTTTTGGCAAGGGCAGGGAAAAACATCCGTTAATTGAAAAAAATGTATTTTTTTTTGTCAATACCAGCCAGTGGAGCAGAGTGAAAGCTAATGCGCCTCAGTTACTGAATAACATGAAAACAACTAGCACATCACTTCTACACAATAATGGTTTTGATAACTCTGGGTCAAAGCAACACACAACAGCAGCGCATTTCACTCTTCACTGTATAAAACAACTACCAGAGACAATTTCATCCTAATGAAAATAAAAATTTCAGGAGATATAGATTTCAAACCACCTGGGATGCAGGTGCTGATGGCATATTTGGCTGGCGACTGATGGGCAATTGCTGGTGTGAACTCTATGGCTCCAGGCAGTATAAATAGGATTTCTCATGACAGCAGTTACTGCAGGGCATGGTGCTAAGCTCCTTGGTACTGTACCTGCTTGAAATGATAAAAACACATTCTCAGCAACTTTATTAGCATACACACTACAGGCATAAAATATATTTAAATATATGAATGTGTATCTATAAATAAAAATTATTAGCATACAGATAAATACATTATTAAGCACATGTGACACCTTTTAGGTAGTACATGCATATTTAAAATCTGGTTTATAATTCTGTAGTTAGTGAATAACGAAGTGGATTCTATCACCAAAAAATGAAGTCATTCATAGTATATCATTTTAATGTGCACTGGCAGCTAAAAGATTTTCTCTGTTTTCAAGTAATAAGCTTTTTCATACAGCAACAAAAATATCTGCATTTCTCTCTGAATAGTCAACTGACAAAAATGCCAGTTTTTATTTGGTACTTGAACTAACTGCAGCTTGAACGATTCTTGTTCCTCTTCCCTTGTCTCAGACTCCCACTTCCAGTGTGTCCTATGACTTTAAATTATAGTATTTCAGTATTTATGAAACTTGTTACTCAAGCTGTTCTTTTAAGTACAATCATCCTTCAGTACTCAACCAAAGTCCATCTCATCACTTTCCTCTTAAATCAGTTGGTAATATAAGACTACAACAGCAAAAATGTGTTGACCTTTCAAGACATCGTATTGTCTGACATAGGTTTGACCTGCTTAGGTTATTATGTGAAGGTATCATGAGAAAGTAAAGCTTTTAGCTAAAAATAATATCTTGTAATACTTTTTCTATTATTTTAAAGGAGAAAGAAATTAGTAAAATAAATCAATGAGCACAAGGCTCTTTGATCTGAGTTACTCTCAAGCATATAACGCTAAGGTCGCGGGTTCGATTCCCATTCAGTCCCCATGTGTTGCCTGATCTAGTCGACAGGCGGCGTCCCTGGTGGCAGGGAGGCTGCATTAAATGATCTCTAAGGTCCCTTCCAGCTTAGGCCATTCTATGATTCTATGATATATTTATATTCTGAAATTGACAGAGACAACAGGGTTTGGAGCTGTCTGTTGTTCCAGATACACAAGTCATTACTTCCTTCACGGTCTCCCATGAGAAGAAAACCTTCCACAATTTCTAGAATACACAGGAGTTCAGGGCTTTCCAAAGAACTGAAAATACATAAACTCATAAAAATCTGTATTGCCTTGATTTGAAAATGAAGTTTCATATGTAACTGCCAAAGGTAGCTACACTAAAGAATGAATGATCCATCTGGCAGCAGAGCTTACCAAATGCCTCTCAACAAGTTCAAAACAACTTGCGTAGGATACCCTAATTAGCTCCTGAAGCAATTAATTTAGTCAGTGCCAATTTAAAACCTGCTACATGAACTTCAACACCAACAACTGTTTGATCAACTGAGAAAACATGCTAACTGTTTTCTGTTCCACCTGATTGTATTGATTTCTGTGTGAGCTCCTTCTGAGTCCCCTCTTCAGCAGTCTACTATCTCAAACATGCTGACTTTTAGATTGAGATCATAACCAGTTTGGGCATTCAACTTGAGATACTCCTAATATTTGATTTCCAATAGGCCAAACTGAATATGTTGCACTTTCTGAGCATTGGATCTTTTCCCTTGGAAGTATTTCAGAAGTTAAGCAGCTAAAGCTTAGGACACCTCTCTTTACTGTCTGCTTTCAAAAATATCAGAAATCTTACTTGTCTCCCTAATGGATAGTCTACACCTGATTCACCATTAATGTACCCAAAACCCCTCTGCACTAAAACTGATGAAACGCAAATCTTTCAGCCAGGAGTTGCACAGTTTCCTTAACAGTTATTAAAGAGGTTTCTCTTTTTTTTTACTGTCCAAAAGCTGAGCAGATCATGTTCAGATCACAACACACCACAAAAATACATTTTTTGCAGTCAGGCTTGTTCTGCACTTATGACTAATCCCCAAGATTGCCCAATATGGACCAGTTCCTTGAGGCATCCCTAGGATTTCAGCATAAGTTCTGTCCCTCACCTGCTGACATACCGCCGGTGTATAAGGCAGCAGGCACAAAGCCATCGCTGTGCCTGGCAGACCGTTTTGGTGAGTATGGTGGCCATTCCTGCAGCTCTGGAGACAGATGTTCCTCACTAGTTGGAGCATACTTTTGCACCTACAAGAACAGAAATCTGATTGCAGGGAACCGGTGATTCAGAATGAAGAAAAATAAAATAACCAAACTTGGTAGACAATAAGCAACTTCAAATTTTTCCAATATCTGTATCACTTCTACACCTTATTCTTCCATGCTGCTCTAGTATTCCTTTTTATTATTTTGCAATCTTTTTAGACAATGTTTGCAACTTAACCAATATACTTTCCTTCAAAATAAAACACCCAGCATTTAGTTACATTTCTCCTTTAAAATACGGCTTTCACAAGACCTTTCAAACATTATTTCAGCCACTATCACAAGTGTTTCCTCAAGAAGAGCTGGCTAACAAGCCAGAATGTGTTTTCCTCTAAGCTTGTATTTTCAGATACGTATGGAGCAACCTCTTGTCAACAGAGCAATTCAGGTTTTGGAATCACCTCAGCTTCTGCTGTGTAGATAACAATATACTGGTGAGTTAAACATGAGCTTAGCTCATATACTGACAGTGATGCTAGAGAGCTGCAAGTTCAGAGTTTACACATTTGAAACGTACAACACAAAACGTGAGATTGAGGTATGTAATCAGTGAAAAATAATTACTGAAATGGTACTTACAGTTTTGGATAGGAGTATTTTAACTAAATGAAGAGTTACTTACACAAAGACTCTAAAACGCAGAGGTACATTCCTAGATTCAAAACTTGATTGCTGCCATGGCTGTATTTAGTAATTGTACCATCGACTACTCAGGGATAAAAGCTCTCTTCGATTTATGAACTTAACAAAGAACACAAATTTAACTGTACATATACACAACTAAGGAAATTGGTAACACCCCGTATGGCTATAAATTTAGCTGCGCTGCATGTTCTATATACCTATTTTTGATATTATACACACTACTTCAGAAATTAATAGATGCAGACTGGACACTAGCGTCACACAATAAAGACAATTCCACCAGAGAGAGATTTTCAGAGTGAATGGTGTCCACATAGTGAGGCACAAACCACTTCTGCTTTCCAGTCAACTTTTTTACAGTTACAAAGCTCTGACTATTTTCTGGGAGGATGGAGAAGAACTTAAGGGGAGGAGAATTAAAAAAAAACAGCAGCACAAACTTAATCCTAGAAATGTAAACTAACTAATGTCTCAAGAAAGCTTAAGAAAAATTGTCATTTTAGAATCCTATTGCACAATTTTCTTCTTTACCTCAAATCAACACCTATATGATACCTGCAATATCATTCGGGCACTATGTAGAACCAATCACAATATATCCATGTCTATCCTTTCTGGTGTCTTCAGTAGTGAGTTCCAAAAATACCCACCCTCTTCCAGCTAACAATTTCTTGCACGTAAGTCCCCACTTACACATGTCCTTGTCACACTGAAAACTCTTCACTCGCTGCAGAAATATTACTAGAGTTATAACCAGGAGAGTGCATACGCTCAAGATAATGCACTATAGAGAAGCATGGGACTATCAGTGCCAATGGTCAACTTGATATTCTACATAAAGCAAACACCCCGAATTCAAATGTGTTCAATAGCTTGATTTTGTTTGGTTGTCATATATGTGCCAAAAGAATACATTAGAATATTTCTCCCTCTTGCAGCGCAGCTCTTGATGAAAATGCACGACCTTTCTCTTAGCCATACTGCTCTTCAGACCCACCCAGAATAAATACGCTGACTTAATCTACAAAATCAAACCCTTATGCTTTTTCGTCATTTTCTGTGCGGGTTTTGGCTACGATAGGGCTAATGTTCTTCTTAGTAGCTAGTGGGGCTATATCTTGTGTTCGTACTGAAAACACTGTTGATAAAACAGGAATGTTTTAGTTATTGCTGAGCAGAGCTTGCACAGAGTTGAAGCCTTTTGTGCCTCTCGCCCCAGTGAGTGCGCTGGGGGTGCACAAGAAGCTGGGAGGGGATACAGCCGGGACAGCTGACTCCAACTGATTAAGGGGATATCCCAGATCATACGGTGTCCCACTCCGCAACAAATTAGAGGAAGGTTGGCAGCAGAGACTGCTGTTCTGGGACTGGCTGGACATCAGTCAGTTGGTAGAGAGCATCTATTTTCATTTGTCTCACTAGCGCGTCTTGGGTTTTACTTCTCTCTCTTTGTTACTTTACTTTCAAGACAAAGTTGTTATTATTTTTATTACTTTTCATTAATATTTTGTTTCAACTAATTGTTTTTAACTCACCCCATGAGTATTCTCAATTTTACTCTCTCCATTTTCTTCCCTCATCCCACCAGCAGACAAGGCTTAGTTGCCAGCTCGGATTAGAGCATGGGCACTTCTACGTAGAAAGCTTAAAGCTCTCTGTAACCATTTTTCCTCAAAAAAAAAAAATGGGAACACGGAAGGAACACAATGGAAGTGAACAAAAAAAGACAAACAAAATGGCCAGTTGTTCTCTTATACCAGTATTTTTGTAGAACATGGCTCTAAACCTTGCACTGCTTCCAATTCTGTTCCGCTGTCTGTATTGCTTCTAAAACTCCATTAAAAGGGTGAGAATATCCAGGTATAAACAAGTACAAGCAAAGAATGTGATATTCTAAGTCATTATCATGTGATTATGTAGAAGCACTTTTTGAAACTTTAGATTTTAGTTGCAGGGGAAAAAAATACTGTGTTTGACACCTGAGCAAACCTGAGGCAGTGACGCTTAAACTAGGCTACTGATGGCATCACTTTATATTGTAGTCCTCTAAATAGGTGGTTCTTCCTAAATCACATAAAATTTTGCTTCTATCTACTCTAGTAAGAAATAACCTGCAATCCTCACAGAAGGGTTGTTGATTCTAACAAATTATACTCTCATATTGAACTGTATTATTAAACCATTTTCTCATAAACAGTCCATCTTTACAGTGCAATGGGTCTACCTGTGAATTTCAGATTAGATTTATGAAATTATTTAGAAAAACTTTCAAAAAAGACAACACTGAATGACCTTTTTCCATTAATTTGTACAGTGAGCTGGGCAACCAGTCTGACTTCTGTAAAACTTAGAAGGCCCTATTTTGAGCTGTCTCTGCATTTTTATCTGCTTCTTTTTTTTTCAGGTTGTCAAAAACATACAAGAGACCAGATCTTCCAACAAGCAGCAGTAAAACTCAAGATGTGGCTATCATTATGTCTGGCAGCCACCACTGCCTGTCAACTGCAAGAACTGGTTTTGTATTTTGTGATATTGCAAAATGTAACCCGAGTCTGGGGTAGCTTCTCAGGGGACCTGGATTTTGAGAACGGGGCTATGCTTCTCCTGCTTTGATATGTAACTTGGTACCCAAAACGACACTGAAAATAGACTTCATAGTATCTAGCTTTGTGCTTCAATACACCAAGCTTCTACCTGAAGCGCAGGATTAGGAATGGGCATAGGGGTTATTTTATGCCTCAGAGCAGGAGCTGATTTTGGCCTTGGTCTTTTAATCTCTGGCTCTTCAACCCTTTGAAAGCCAATGTCATCTTCACAGGATTTCCTTGAGGAGAGGTGAGTGCAGTCAATTCCCTCCTCCCGATAATAATGCCCAGCATTCCCTTGAGAGTAGCAGAGTCCTGTTTAAGTGCCAAGGAAATTGGAGCTTGGGCAGTGGCTGGGCTGGTGGGTGGTGATCCAGTTGTGACTGTAGACTCCGATGCAGAGCTCGCCTGCTGTTTATGTTTAAATTTTATAGAGTCACTCCTCTTAGGAGGAGTCGGAGGAGTTGAAGCCACTTCAGCTTTTGATGGCTGAGGGGAATGGCCTGTCGCCTGATTAGGGGAAAGGTACTCCAGTTTGGGAGGAGTTGGCGGTCTTTTGAAAGTATCGGGATCAAAGATAGATTTCCTTTGTTTTGGCTTTTTGTACACAGAGAACTTTTCCGTTTCTGTTGCTGAGATGTTAACCATGACTTTTGGCCAGGTACCACCACTGTGCTTAGCTCCATGCCCTTTGTCAAACGCAGTCTCGACCATCACGCAGTCAGCTCCCGTAGGTTCGTAGGGCAGCCTCCTGTTGTCCAAGTCAACAGCTCCGTAGCCTCGGTCCCCATACATCTCTGGGCTGAAGGAGCTGAGACTGTGTTCTGAATTGCTGTGGCAACTGTGCACTGTGTTCCCGCGAGAGTCTACTCGTACTGTGTTATTAGGGAAAGGTTTGTGATCACAGAATGAACCGTTGCCCTGGTCACTCTGGGCTTTCTTGCTGTCCATGATGTCTGGATTGAAAATGTCAGTCTGAGTTGAACTGTTGAGCCTCAGATTTCTTTTATTTTGGGCTTGTATCTCTGATGTGTGAATCCTACAGTTTGATATTTTGTCTGAATCCTTCAGATTTTCAAATATATTTTGACCACTCCATGATGAACTCTGAGGAAAAACCTAAAACAAAACACACATGTGATCACTTTATTATGGCTGATTTCTGTCTAGTATGAGGCATATTCTGGCCTCCTTGATTTACCCGGACCTGAACAGACACCAAGATATGTATAGATACAGTTGGGAAAGGCTTAATAAAATCTTACAGATTCAAAGCACAGAACATGAAATAAAATGAAGATAGAAATTTTTTGAAACATTTTCAGAATAATTTCAGAAGAACAACACTTCCTGGTGTCAGAAGCACTGAACTAACAGTGAAGGGACCTGCATTCTACTTTTACCTCTGTGAAGTGATTCTAACAAGTCATCTTTCATTGCCTATTTCCCTTTAAACATTTCATCTTTTTACTTTCTAAAAACCTCAAGCCTCCCGGAGCTGGAATTAGCAGTCAAAAAGCCCGTGTGACAGGTCCAGCATAATGGGATTCTAAAGCAAATAAGCAAAAGAGAGTAATATTTTTATAGCAGTAAGTCTGAAAAAGAAAACTGCACTTAATCCTCATAGAAGTCAGAGTTCAGTTTTCTGCATAACTCTCTCCTGACTAAAAGCAAACGTTTTTCAGTCAAGAAGAGACTATTTATCTTTCATGTACAAATCTGCTCAGGTCTGAAGCAGAAACCCAAAAAAAAGTAATTATGCCAGGAGTCATTTCATGTGGCCAGCAAACAAATAGGAAAGTAAGAGCACTAAGTAAGTTGAATTTCCCCCCAGATGATACAATAGTCTTACCTTGAACGTAACTGTGGAGTCAGTGTACCAGCAGTGACATGCATCCCGATGGTCTTAATTTTTAGCAGAGACTTCTCCATCACGATATACACATTCTTTGATAGACTCTTCCCTGATCAACTAAAATAATTCTGTGTAACTTCAAGAAAATTCTGCAAATTTAACTTCTACTCACCTTCATCAGTGACAGGGTAAGTGAATCCCTACAGTTTCGTAGCAAAGCTTCACATTCAGTAAGCGACTTATTATCTAGTGCAATGCCATTGATCTACACACAAAAAAGGCACAACAGACGTCCATAAATCAAAGGTAACAGTGGAGCATCTTACAGTCGCGTCTCAGACAGGAAAATCATTAGTTTTATATGTATGCATGACTGAAGTCTAGTTGACCTTGTCCTGTCTTTTTCCATTCTCTACTGAAAAAACCCACCAAGCCTCCTAACTCCACTGGTGCTACTCCTGCTTCACTACATGAGCATCTACTCATTTACACATGGACATTAACCACCTCCTGTTTTCTAAGAGTTCATAAACCAAGTCATTTAGGGCTGCAGATGCACACAGGGAAAAACTTCCCCCCTCCGCCCCAAAAGGATGGCATTGGTGACACTGTAATTTAAAAGACAATAAATCTGTCATTCAATCAAGGGATGCCTTTTTGGAACTGACCTTCCCTGTTCAGTATAAAAATCAAAAGTATCATTATATGTAAGCCACAAGTGTGTCATGTAAGTTAGTGTCTGTCAAAAATGCTCATACGAATTAAGCATAAAGTAATAAATACTTACTGAATTATATGAAAAGGGTATAATACAATACAATAATATAAAGTAAAAAAAAATGTAGAGTTTGGGATCTTAAAAAGTAGTATTGATGATAACACTTTAATAAAAAATAAAGAAAGGAGAATGCATTTTTAACTTACAGCAATTATCCTATCTCCCACAGCAAGGGAACCCTCTTTGGCAGCTGGGCTTCCAGGGACAACAGCAGCAACAAATACTCCATTTTCTAGACTGACCCCACTATCTGAAATACCAAAAAAAAAAAAAAATGAAATTACGTCTGCAATTCAAATACCTTGTTCAAACAGCATGTCTGACCTGCCTGCACAAGGAAGGAAATATAATTACCAAATTCATTGAATTTTTATTTCTGAAAACCCTTTTAAAGAAATAAAAATATGGTGAGGAGGAAAACAGGGATTTGAGATGTCCTTAAATCTAATATAATCATACAAAGCTGGAGTAACTGATGGGTTTAACAGTCTCATTTAGACTCCCAGTAACACTCCAGACAGGTAGATAACTAGAACTCAGTATTAAAACAAACAAACAAAAAACCTCTAGAACAAAAAAGAAAACCTGTACTTACAGAATAAAGCTATCGTCAATATCAGCATTCTTAGTTTGCTAAGACTAATTAATGAAAATCTCGGTCTAGGAGGAAGTAACAGTTAAAGTGGGACTTAGGCAGAGGCTCAAAACACGTACCTTTAGGTCAAGCCATTTTTGGTTGAACAACCACATACCATTTACATACGTTCCCCCATTACCTTTATGTCCGGAAACGTTGATGTGAAGAGGTGTTATCACTCGCCCACCTAAGGACTTCCTTCTTCGAACCACCATGTTAATAACACCTCCTCCATTTAGAACAGCTTTTATAACTTGCTTTTTATCTTTATTAGTAAGATCCACATCATTTATTTTCAGCAACCAATCATTCACTCTAGTAGATACAAAGAAATAAGCAGGTCAGTGTTTCAAGCACACTTTGCTGGACACTTGTGAAAAGGGACATAACAGCTGATCTCAACACTCTAATCCTTAATTATCTGGAGTTTTCCACTCCTGAAAAAGCATCTAAATGAAAACCAAGACTTCTAGTCTGCACCTCACTAGGCAAAGTCTATCCTCAAATCACTAATGACTACTCCTTATTTAAAAGTAACCCTCCGGGCAGAGGAGGGTTACTAAAACTTCCTGTCAACACTAGGAACAGGAGCAGGTTTCAAACTATCCATTGCTCTACTCGCCTCTCCCCTTGCCCTCTCTCAATAGTTCACCCCCAAGTTTTACGCAAGATTTAAATAAATAGATCAAAGTTTGAGGAGATAAGGAGCAGAGTAGGTGAGAGAGAGAAACGAGAGCACATCCATTCCTGGTGAGTTTTAAGGGATAAGTCAAACAGTGTCTAATTTCTGTAATGCTTTTAGGCACTGGTCTTGCCATTCTGATTTCTCAATCAACATTAATAATATACACATAACCAATGATAAAAAAGGATTTTTAAAATACAGTAATAACTCGAAGCAATTTGCAATATGCTCACATATAGTTTACTATGATTAACAAAAATGAAGTATCTTCCAAAGTCAACCCCTACCTTAATCGGCCATCAGCGATACTTCCTTTGTCTACTTTGGTAACGAAGATTCCACAGTCTCCGGGGAGGTATGGTTCATTCACACCTTCTGCCACATCGAAACCAAGGGCCTTCAAGTCCATATCATCCTAACAAATATTATTAACAAGTGACTCAACTGCACTGGCAACTGCTGTGTCGTGGTCTGCTAGGCATTACTGCATGTTTGTACTATGCACTTCAATTTACAGGGTACCTGTTCTAGGCAAGTTCTTCCAACTCAATTACTTATTAGGCACCCTCTGGCATTAGAATGATCTTTCTCCCTTATATTAAGGCTGAAATAACGCAGAAGGGGATCTTCAAAGAGAGGAATAGAACAGAGGAGCATGCAAGAAAGCACATTCAGACGTGTATAACCCATTTTAAAAGATGATGCCAAGTGTGTAATGAGAGAACAAGACCATGTCCCCTGTTAACAGGCCTTACTTGGGGAAAAAAATACAATTGTGAAGGTAAGGAAACAGCATTGTGCCTTTGTGATGAACTCAGAAAGACATCTCCTTTGATATGCTTTTTTTATAAAAACTAGAAGTAAACAGGAAAGAAAGTTCAACATTAAGTGGGACCACATTTCTAAATACAGATTAGAGGTGATATTCCATGAACCTTGGCCCAAACCACATCATCCTCAATGTGAAAAGTGATAAATATCTTTAACAAATCAGTCACTGAAATAAACAAGGAAATTTTAATTTAGTGCTTGCTTCAGGAAATGGTAAAGTGACTATAAGAAAAAGTTGACTAAAGAAAAACTGGGACCAACTGGTCACAAACTGATTTATTATTTCTATTTTCAGTGTTAAAAAGCACATACATAAAAACCAGAAAACTATACTTGCAATCAACTGGACCAAGTATCTCAGCACAGTGAACACAGATGATACTTTAAATTTAAAATCTAACATAAAAAAAAACAAATACAACTTAAAACAGACATGTAAGGCATGGGCCTAGTCATGGTTTGATGACTAATCCCCTTAAAATCAGTGTAGCCGAGAGTCTTGAGGAAGTGCAAAAGACACCTTATAAAAGCTAAGCTATAACATGCAAAAATATGAATATTTAGCAGAAATTAAATTCAGCCAAACCTGCCAAAAATATATTAAAATTTTTATGATTCTTCCAAATGTTCTATGTAAGGAAAAAATTCATAGGGAAGAGTATAGGGCTGCGATAAAAAGATTGAGCAGAGATCACAGTATCATTGTACAGTCTCGGAGCTGAAAAGGGAATATTATTTCTCTCAGTTTTGAGCTGAATGATTATGTAGAATAGAAGCTTAAGCAGACAGGTGAGGTTGAAGCAAAAAATAAAAGGATTTAAATGTATTCAACTCTTTTGTTTCCATCCTGGAACTCAAATGCTGGTAAGTCAGCAAAGATTTTCCCATATATCTGATCAAGTTTGGCAGAATATTATTGCTATAATTTGATATCAGCAACTGAAATTCCTATGATCAGAAAATGGAAAGATATTCAGATGACGAACTCTATACAGAGAATCTCAGTAATGCAAACATTTAAAACCATATTTGAAATAAAAAATAACTAAATAACTGCACATAAATGGAAAATTCATGAGGTTGAGAAGTTGTATACAACAGGTATAGCATATGCTAGACTTGCTAACTAATTTTACAGACAATGGAAAAGTGAAATTATTCATTATCAGTTAAAAAAGAGAAGACAGCAATGCACAAAATCTGATGACAAAGGTCAAAAGAGATGAAAAAGCATGGTAAAAGGGCAACTGTTATCCCAGAAAGAATTTAGAGACAGTGGTTCTGACCCATCAGCACAGGTATCAGTTCATACGGTCTTTTCAATCTATGTATTTGAAGATACAATAATACTAGATAATATTTTTAGTGTCAAAAATAGGAATGTATGAGTAGTTTTCTTGGGATGCACTGTCAGAACAGACTGGAACAGCATAAAAAAAGATGACACCAAATAATGCTGTAAAATGAAAGGGATTTAATTTGACAGCATTAAATCACAAACTTTGTCATTCAGGAATGGCAAAAAAATTCTGGTATATGCAGAAGCTGTTATAAATTAAACACAATCTGAGAGACCACCTGTGTGTTCTATGTGGTCAAAAAAATTACTATTACCAAACAATGTGATGCGCCAGTCAAAAATTTCAAATAGAACAGCATACCAGACTTTCATCCAAAGTATTGAAATAAAATCTCTAGACTACAATAAAGAAAAATGAAATTAAATGGAGAAAAGTACTAGCAGGATAATGAAAGGATGCAGAGGTTATCTGGAAAGCTAAATATAAGAACTTTATTTAATATGTCAAAATGGAAAAGGGATTTCCTCTACAGACAAGTAAGAGATTAGCATCTCCTTTCATCCCAGATTTTTCAGCTGAAGGACACTCTTGCCCTAAAATATATATTTATCCTGAAAAAATACTTCTCATATTTTAAAATTTCTAGCCATCAAATCAGAGCAAAAATAGGAGAAATAACTTCATGTAATAGCTTAATTGTTTTATGCACAGATTTTAAGTGATGTTGTCTGTAAGAATGAAGTTTCCATCACATTTTAACTTTTGGCTGCCTTAGCACAGCTATTTCTCACTAACTTTAAGAACACTAAACGACTAATTTAAAACATTATTAATAGTATATGGGCTTGGGTACTCTGCAAGATCAGATGGACGAACAATTTTTATTTATAATTCATTTGAAAAAAAATACAAAGCCTGGGTATAACGGCTTAGTTTGAATAACTACTTTCATCTAGGCTTTACCACCCTTGCTGCATATGCAGATGTGGTTCCTTACACAAAGAACTAAAAAAAAATACAGGTTAGAGTGATATTTAATCATACCTAGTATGAAGTTGTTATAATTGGCTTCCAAGCTACCCAATATATAAAAACTATGCAGTTCGTGTTTTTGACTTACTCTGTCTTTTTCAAATTCTACCACTTCTGTTTCCCATTCCAGAGAGTCTGTGTCTATGGCTGAGTCATGGGAACTATGGGCCATCAACTGACGGAATCTGGCCTCCTTTTCCAACTGATTCTCCATTTTCTCCCTAGGCAACAAAAAACATTTTTATAGACACATACAATCCCTTTAAATAAAATGATACATAACGTTATTGTTTGGAAGTACCTCATACTTTGTTTTCTAAATCCAAAATCCAAGCTGTGACAAAACTTTACCCCATGTTTCCATCTTTTCAGTATTCTCAGGCTGTTATGTAATTTTCTTTTCTGTATATTGTTCTAACATAGACTTACATTTGATGCATTATTTTTACATGACTGAAGTGCACAACTAGGTTTCTAACATCTCCCAAAATGCATTTAATTTACCCACAGATGAGCTGCATTGGTATGCTTAGGACAAGTGCTGCATGATAAACATTGACAATAAAATCTCTTCCACATCCTCCTTGCATTCCTAAATCAGTGAGAATACAGTTCAGAGGAACTTAACTGCAGTTAACGTGACTTCAGTCAAAGAATCCTGTATAGCTCAAGTGTATCTCCATGGTGCAGAGCTCAGAATGTGTGTCTCATGGATAAGATGAAAAAGTTAAGACAGTAAGAATTGTAATCCTGCTCATCTCAATAATTTTCACAATAACTAAGCATACAGGCAATGTTTCCACATACAGTACATGAATGCCTGCTGCCCATAGCTACAACAACATATGGTTCACTTGCAAACAGAACTAACAAACTAAAGATTTTATCACAAACTTCCATGCAGTTTGATAATTTCTCTAACGTACTTCAGTTCCTTTAGTTCACGAACAGCATCATTTTTCTGCTTTCTCATGTCATCCAGATTGCGAAGAGCTTCAGCCAAGTCACTCACAGCCCGGTCTCTCTCCCTCCTTAAGTTGTCACACAAAGTCCTTCAAAAGCAAAGTAACAAGCTAGTTTTACCACATTACACAGTTAACGCAAACTTTTTAAAAAGCACTTTCAAAAGATGTCTCTCAAAAAAAAGTATAAGGAAGAAAAACATACATAAGCAAGGTGTTACAGAAAAGCTCAGGATAACAGAAACTTTCTTCATCCCTTTCAAAATTTTATTTCTACTTTTCTTTAAACTAAGAAAAAAAAAGTCTGATTGAAGTATTTTCCCTTAGTTCCTTACATATGTTTAGTAGCAAATATGTTGGGTACTTCTTGCAAAATGTTGTCACAGGTAAAGAACTATTTGCAGGACTACAGCTACAGCAGGATCAGGTGTATCATGGCTAAAAGACTGGATGACTTGGTGTTCCCACGTAGCAGTGCTGTCAGGCTCTGTGGTACTTTCTAGAGAAATATTGTGGGTATGAAAGTACAGACAAGGGCAAGCATCTCTGAGGCACCCTCAACATAAGAAAAGCCAGCCTGTGCCACCTAACACAGAACCTGAAGCAAGTGCTAGCAAAATCCCGCACGTCCTAGAACTGCATCAACTGCACACAAGGTGTGCACGTGTCGTGTAGCATTCGCTTACCGGATACTTTCCCTTTCTGCAACAATCTTATCTCGCTCTTGAAAGGCCCAATCTCTCCTACATTTGGCTACTTCTGCTTCCTGGATGGCTTCCTTCAGTTCTTGAGACATTGCCTCGTACTGTTTCCGAAGCATTTCAATTTCTTTGTTTGCTCTTTCTATGTCTAAGGTTGCAGAATCTTGAATCTAGGAATTAAGAAATATAGGTAAGTATTTCAGGCACATATTTTAGGTAAGTATGCACAAACTGCTTTTACATATGTGTGTTGCCTGATGCATTTAACTATAAGATAAATGAACATTTTTCATGAAAATTAACAGCAAATTGGGAAAAAAATAAAATAAAAACCACTGCTATGTATTTCATTCAGTGACACAAAATTGTGCGAATACAATTCACATGAATAAAAATCCTCACTTCAAAATAATATCAATGAGCATTTTGTATTTCAGAGATGACACTGCATGCTTCTTTCTTGTTCTGCTTAGCAGACAGAAATAAACAACCTTCAAGGACATTTGGAAATCAGGTATACTGTGATACACAGATTCCTGCGTTAACATCTGTTATTTATCCTGAGATGAGTAGACACGTTCACAACACCAACTTGAGATCCACACAGGTCCTGTAACTCCAAAGCAACAGAATTTTTTAAAAAAATTAAAATTGTTTGAATGTTTCTTGTTATAGCTGAGAATTACTTCTCTCTTAAGTTAACTTGTCTCTCTCTAACATTCTCTATTTTAAGACAGTGACAACAGTAAAGCAAATACAGAGACAATATTCCAGCAAAATAAATACAAGCCAACTGCAACAGTATAGCCTGCCACAAGAACTGAAGGCCATGGGTTTGCAAACAACTGTGTGTGGTTAATTTAAATATAAATAAACCTAATGAATCTGACTAGACTTGTCATTTCATTTAACATTAAACTTTGGAGGAATGTTTTTAAGACTTGAATGCATGCATATCAGAGAGTGATTAATAAAGGAAAAAAAGAGCCTTTAAAGTGTAAGTGAATTATAATAATGTTCAAAAGTAAGAGAGTGCTGAACCTTAAACCCCAGGTCTACATTCAGAAGCTTCCAAAACCCCACTGCTTTGGCCATGAAGAAGTAAACACAATCAAAGATTTATTTCCTGTATAACTGAAAATATAGCTTAATTGCTTCCCCACACACTCTTTTGGGACTGGCAAATCAGTACAACAGGCAAAGCTAAAAACTTTTTATGTATCGGTCAACAGTTGGTAATGAAAAGAGAGACTACATGTCTGAAGAAAGCAAACCAAAATACGTAGTTTACTATTAAATAATTTATTCCTTAATTTCTTAAGTATGAAAGTTGTGATAATAGGTAATTCCACACCACATTACACATTAAGCCTTGACAGTTGTTTGTGGACTGGCATTTAGTATTGCACACAAGAGCAATGGTAACCGTGCAAAATTGTAAAAATGTTATTCCCCACACAGAGACATAAATTGCCAGAACAGGCAGGATATTTACACTAAAAAAGCATACAGATAAGAAAATTTACCATTGCACTTCAATTGGCTTCCTTTATGAAGTACTAGAAAAAGCAAACATCCTGAACAGGTCACAGCCATACACAGGCTATGGATGGCAACAAGCCAAACAGCAGGTAACAGCCTGCCTAGTTACCTGCTGGATCATAGTATTTTATCTACAACTTATTTTTACAAACAGAAACTTATTCTTGCAATTCTTTCAAACACGGAGTTCTGTCACTATGCCTTGAAGAATGTATGTGCATTTTATGCAGGTATTTCAGAGTGACTTGGGGAAAAGATGATGATACCCAGTGTGCCCAAACCCTTAATTAAGCTCTTGAAAATTACTGACCCATTAAAACTGAGAAAGAAAAAGGCATCTGTGAAGACTTGCAATACCTGACGGGCTTGGTAATACTCCCTTAGTAGATGGTCTCTCTGGATGATAGCTTCTGTTCTCTCTTTCCTGGCAACATCTCTTTCTTCCTTCACTGTCTCTATATCCTTGCAAGCTTGGTCAAGCTCCTTCTGGGCCTCAGCTTTGTCCTTCACTTCATGACAGTATTTCTCCAGTAACTCATTCCTCTCACAAATTGCTCGATCTCTTTCCACTAGAGCTGAGTTTAGCTCCTACAACGAGATCCATTGTTTGCAGTAGGTTATGTACAGAAGGAAACAGTTCATCTTTCACACTGGATACACACTGACACCTTAAAAGCCCAAAGAGTTTACCACTAATGTCCTACGAAAGGGGTCAGGACTGCTCACATTACATACAAGTACTAGCAAAGAATATTAAATGTGGTATTAAAGATATCACACGATCACATTAGCACACTGCTATGCCAAGTAAGCAAGAACCTGGGAGCACTCACAGTTCTGAGGAACCTAAATGAGGGAAGGTTATTAACCAGTCAGACTTTTTAAAAGGCTTTAAGTATGGCCAAGGGTAAGAACACATTGCAAATTCTTTTAAACAGCTGCCTTGATTTTACAGGACTGAAAGAAAATAAAGACAACCCAGCTACATAAGTATCTTCTAGCTGCCTCCTAAGCTTTAAAGGGACACTGAAGTCATACACTAGTAAGATGCCAATGTAAAAACTACAGAATGTTTGAAATTATAATTACAGTATGCCATAAAGAAGAATGACAGCACATTCAACTGCAGCAACTCAAGTGCACAATAACAGAGCAAGATGAGCTCTAAAATACAATATGTCTTTTCAAAATAGTTTAAAGTAGGCTTCATACTAGAAGAATGCAGCATTGAAACAGTTTAATTTCACGCTAACAAGTTTTTAGATGGTCCAGCTCTCTAGAAGCATTCAGCCAATGGCTACAAAAAAGCGCTTCTACACATACACATCCGTATTGACGTTTTAATCTCAGAAGGATTACTTGAGACAGCAGACATCTCACAAGCAAAAGAAGGGTCCAAATACATAAGGATCAAGAGACATCATGTCATAAACTGGCTACCATTCTATTTTCTTCCACAGTTTGCAAGGAGTAAGATTATTTAAAACATAGTGACAATTGCATTTTGCTGTACTAACAAAACTGTTTTTTGAGATACAGCATCTAATTAAGGCGAGTCAGGCTGTTAAAGCAGTTCTGCGATGATATTAAGGGATATTTTTGCTGTAGAGTAACAGACAAGCATCAGAACTAATGACTGACTCTGTGAACTTTAAACAATCAGTGAATGTCAGTTACCAGAGCACTCAAGTTGTTGGTTTTTTTCAATATCAGCAAGAGCTTCTGTTGCTCAATGCCTCTTCACAGAGAAATCCCTGACCCATCTGGTGGTGCAAAGAAGTTTTAGTACTGAAAGCTAATTTCGCACAGCTTTATAGTCTGTATAAAATGTGCATTCAAATGTGCGTACAGAACTTACACAAAAATATTAAGTCTTTTCCCACATGCAGCTGAGAAGAAATCAAGTATCAAGGCAGAAGAAAGGCTGTCAGTAAGACCCTCATTAAACAAAAATTTACAGTACTTTAAGGTGATTGCAAAAACATGTCTTGCCACAGTTTATTCCAGCATGCTCAACATAAACTATCTGAATAAGAGCGGCCATTGTCTCCAGTGGTCAGTAGCAGAATTTCACCTCTGTCTTTTACCTGTAACATTTGCACAAAATTACAACACAAAAGCAGAGGGCAAGGTGTCATTTGGTGCTGACTAGAACAGCTTCTGTCTGAAAACATCAGAGTGGTTTGGTTTGAATAACAAGTCTGAATTTGCGAGGAAATCTTATGTTTGAAGGTAGTGCATATGAGGATAGAATACAATAGGTCTATAAAATAGAGGGCAAAGCTGACTACAACTGAGATGAAACACAACATTCTAAGTATTTGCTGGAGCAAAAGATTATACCAAACAAAAACACCCCTGGGAAAAGTAGAGGAGGAGATCGGCAACATCTAATCCCTAGCTGTGAGTGAACAAACACATGAGAACTTGATCCAAAGCTGTTCATAGTGCAAAATCCCAGTATTTCTTCTACCATCTATAAATACCAGACAATTTTGGATGTAAATGAATCCATTATGCTTGCACATGTGCAACCCACAAAGCTTAAATATCTAATTAGGAAATTGACTGACCAAACTCCTCAGTAACTGCTCATAATATAATGCCTAAAATACAACCTCTTGTCTATTTCAGTTGGTTTTGCATTTCTTAGGGACAGCAAAGGTAGAGTAGCAAGCATAAGCTTCAAGGAAAAAACTACTTTTAAGACGACCTAAATGGATTCAATGGTTTCTGTCAGCCAATGGGCGCTATGTAACAGGGCGCTTAGAGCTGCCATACATCATACGAAAAGTAGAGACCATTAAGTTCCATCTTGGCATTCACTGACGAGATTAATTCCATTTATGTAGAAGCACCTTTCAGGATACTATTTCAAGTGAATGTATCACTTGATCAATATTTTTTTTCAAACTAACATATATTTGCCTTGCCAGAACGAGAAAATCCCTCACGCACCAAATGCTGCTGCAGCGAGCCACTAGTACGTGAGCAGGAACACACCTGCTCGCAAGCAGAAGAGTCATAGCTACAGGAACAGAAAATGGCAACAAAAAGAAAACGCACAGTGCTGCAATTTTACACCTTTTGGTTTATTAACGAAGACATTATTTCTGCTTTCTAATGTGCCAGTTCTGGGGGTGAAGAGAAATGCATGTCTGTGTCCTGCCAACATCTCCCTCACCAGTGCTAGGCTCTTTCTGGCTCTTATTCAAAAACCCCTTCAAGTCACCTAGGTAGAAAGGAATACTCATGTATTTAAATTTTAATTCCTTGCCCCTGAAAGGACTTTGGCAAATTACTCACAGTGCCAAAATGACAGATAGAACAAACTGGAGTAGACCGACTAATAGTGGCCATTTCCATCAGCATTCATCATTAGCTGCCCTGATTCCACTGAAATCAATAGGACATTTCTATTGGCATAATGGCTTAGATGAAAGTAGAACCAGTATGAAATGTATTAAAATCTCACTCACTGCAGAAGCTAAATTACTTAGCTGACAAATATAGAGTTGAAAACTACGACTTCTTAAAACCAGAAGTTAGTTGTTTTTTGGAAGCTCTGACGCCTTATGTCACGATCCACACTACGTCCCTCAACAGCAGTGTTATTTAGAAAAAGCTCCACACCTTAATTTTTCATAAAAGGCATTTTGCTCAGACATAATGCTGTGAAAAAAGTGAAATGAGATTTATAGGCAATGCAATACATTTGCTTGTATCTATTTCATGCTAAATTAATTATTTGTAAACCAAAGAGTCAAATGGATGCATGTCAGCTGAAATGAAACCGAGCAGTAAATTTTGTTTTGAAAATCTTAACAGCATCATTATAACAGAGTTGTTATATAAGCATCTCAAGAACATATTGCTGAAAAATACAAAGTTCTGTTTTTACACACTTTAAGGCATGCCTGAGTTCTAGTGAAAAATGTCCAAAATACCCTATTTAACTCAAAGGTAGAAGACAGGCAAATGTAGTAATAACATGCATGTCCGCACAGGCTTTGGATAAATATTTAAGCCTACTTTAAGAACCGTCTTAAGCCATAGCAGATAGCATCCAGTGGTTCCTGTAGAGGTTAGAAGTCAAAAAATAATGAGTATTTCAGGCTGTATTGTTAAAGAGAACATCACTTGAGAAGGCATAGAAAACTAACACAGTAAAGGAAGGATTCGTAATCAGCAGAACAGAATTAAGTCACATGAACAGCAAATTTCAACTGACAGTTATTCTATCCAAACAGAGAAGCTTAATAAATTGATAGTAAAAATAACTGCTATAGGAAAATACCAGCACGGAATTTCCTCTTGGCAGTGCATTCCTGTTTTCCATTCGTTATTCATTTCTGATTCTAGCAACAAGGCCCGCTCATGTCCCTTCCCCCCCAAACCAACAGGTTAGTACCTGTCTTAAAGCTTCCATCTCTTCACTAGCCACTCGCTTCTCAGAAGAAGTGTTCTTCAGTTTGGACTCCGCAAGCTCCAGCTCTGTCTGAAGCTTATCTACTTCTTTGATTACTTGATCTCTCTCGCTCATGATAAGGCGGTATTCATTGAAAACTGAATCCCTTTCTTCCTTGTATTTTTCTGCATCCTTTGTTGCTTTCAGCTGCATTGTTTTGAACCTTGTCACCTCAGACTGCAATCGCTCCATCTCTCTCTGCAACTCTTTGTTTTGTGCTGTGGCATTGCTTAGTTCCTGCTGTACCGATTCAAATCTAAAACCAAGCAGAAATGCCGGTAAGATAGTCGTTCCTCATTTTCTTTTTCATACATTAAGGATTTGGCTGGATAACCAAATGCATTCGTTGGTAAAACACAACCGCAGAGGACTTCTTGGCCAACGTACGCTCAGTGCTGCAAAATAAAAGTTAGACCAATACTGCTTTAGGAATATTAGTGAACCTTTGGGAACATCTTCAAGGAGCTGAAACATATAAATTGTTAGAAATTATTTAGAATTAAATTATTTAAAATAAATTTCTACCAAATTGTTCTAAAAAGGAATGCAAAACATTGTCATTTTTTTACAGCAGTGTCCAGCAATAGGACAAGGGGAAATGGATTTAGGTTGAAGGAGAATAGGTTTAGATCTGATCTTAGGAAGAAATTCTTCAGTTCAAGGGTGGCAAGACTCTGGAACAGTTTGCTCAGAGAGCTTGTGGATGTCCCTCCCTGCAGATGTTCAAGGCCAGCCTGGATGAGGCTTTGAGCAACCTGGTCTAGT